TGGATGTACAAGGACTGGGAGAGGCACTGCTCTACTGCCTCCTTTCCCCTGCTCTGGGCTCCTCTGCCCCTTTCTGTCTCTCTGATGGGGAGGGAAACTGGGGACAAGGAGGAAGGAGAGCGACATACTGCCCACCCTGACTGCTCAGTGGGGATCTGAGGGTGGGGAGCTCCTTGCAGTGTCCCTGGGCCTCGCATCAGCATCTGAACAGACTCCCACTTATTCCACGTTGCCCTCCCCTTTTTGTGACTCTCCACTGATCTCCTCTGTCTTAACGTTTTCTTCACTCCAGTTCTCTGTCTGCCAAAGATGACGCAGGCCCTGGTAAGCGCTCCCTAGGGCCTCCGACTCTCCTTATTATCATCTCTTTTCTCACTCCTGTCTATCCTGCATGGTACTTCCATTCTAGTTTTCTTCAAACTGGTTTTTATCCTCCCATGCCATTGCTCAAGAATCTCCAATGGCTCCCTACAGCCCACTTAACTGCCTACACAGACTCTCCTCCACCCCTTTCAAATGCCACCAGCCTCACGGAGTCTTCCCAGAAGCACGCTGGGGTACTGTGCCCACCATTGATACAGGCTGAGCATCCCAAATTACGAACGCTCCAGAATCTTAAGCTTTTTGAGTGCCAACATGACGCTCAGAAGGAAACATGACGCTCAAAGATTTCAAATTTCAGATTTCCAAATTTGGGATGCTCACCAGTGAGTATGATGCAAATATTCCAAATAAAAAAAAAATCCTAAATCCAAAATCTGAAACCCTTCTGGTTCCAAGCATTTCAGATAAGGGCTATTCGACCTGCACTTCTAGAACAGTGTTGTCCAATAGAATATAATGCAAGCCACAAATGTAATTTTTTTTTTTTTTAGATGGAATCCCCCTCTGTTGCCCAGGCTGGAGTGCAGTGGCATGATCTTGGCTCATTGCAACTTCCGCTTCCTGGGTTTAAGCTAGTCTCCTGCCTCAGCCTCCTGAGTAACTTGGATTACAGGTGCCTGCCACCATGCCCAGCTAGGTTTTTGTATTTTTAGTAGAGATGGGGTTTCACCATGTGGGCCAGGCAGATCTTGAACTCCTGACCTCAAGTGATCCACCTGCCTCGGCCTCACAAAGTGCTGGGATTACAGGTGTGAGCCACCACACCTGGCCCACAAATGTAATTTTAAATCACCCAACAGCCATATTTGAAAAAGTAAAAAGTCAACAGGTGATAATGTTTTATTTCACTAACATATCCAAAATATAATCATTTCAATAGGTAATCAATATAAAAGTTTTGAGGACATTTTATGGCTCTTTTTAATTTTTCAATTAATTCTTACTATTTTTTAATAGAGACAAGGTTTCTGTCACCCAGGCTGCAGTGCAGTGGCATGATCATAGGTCAGTATGGCCTCGAACTCCTGGGCTTAAGCAATCCCTCGCCTCAGCCTCCTTGAGTAGCTGGGATTAGAGGTACGCATCACCATGCATGGCTAATTTTTAATTTTTTTTGTTTTGTACAGGAGGTCTCACCGTCTTGCCAAGGCTGGTCTCAAACTCCGGGGCTTAAGCCATCCTCCTGCATTGGCCTCCCAAAGTGTTGGGATTACAGAATAAACCACTGCCCCTGGCCTGTCTCTTTTTAAAATACAAGACTTTAGCCAGTTGCGGTGGCTCACGCCTGTAATCCCAGGACTTTAGGAAGGCTGAGGTGGGTGGATCACTTGAGGTCAGGCGTTCTAGACCAGCCTGGCCAACATGGTGAAACCCTGTCGCTACCAAAAATACAAAAATTAGCCAGGCATGGTGGCGCACACCTGTAATCCCAGCTACTTAGGAGGCTGACGCAGGAGAATCACCTGGATCCAGGAGGCAGAGGTTGCAGAGAGCCGAGATGGCGCCACTGCACTCCAGCCTGGTGATAGAGCAAGACTCTATCTCAAAAAAAAAAAAAAAAAAAAAAAAAAAAATCCAGTGTGCTCTTTACACTTACAGCACATCTCAGTTCAAAGAAGCCACACTCCAGGTCTGAATTCAGCTTACTAGCAGCATATGGCGGCTGGGGACCCCAGCATGGTTCTAGAGACTGTGAGACTGAGTTTGGATTCCTGAGCAGCTGCCCCACATTCCAACTATCTTAACAGTGGAAGTTACTCAGTTTACGGGCTGAAGTGTGTCCCTCTCTCTCTCATTCATAAATTAAAATCCTAACCCCCAGTAGCTCAGAATGTGATTTATTTGGAAATAAGGTTGTTGCAGATACAATTAGTTAAGGTAAGATGATGTCATACCAGAGTAGGGTGGCTCATAATCCAATACGATTGGCGTCCTTTTAAAAAGAGGAAGTTGGAGGCCGGGTGCGCCGTGGCTCACATCTGTAATCCCAGCACTTTGGGAGGCCAAGGTGGGCAGATGACTTCAGCTTAGGAGTTCGAGACCAGCCTTGGCAGCAGGGTGAAACCCCATCTCTACTAAAAATACAAAAATTAGCCAGGTGTGGTGGCAGATGCCTATAATCCCAGCTACTTGGGAGGCTGAGGTGGGAGAATCACTTGAACACAAGAGGTACAAGTTGCAGTGAGCTGAGATCATGCCACTGCAGTCCAGCCTGGGCAACAGAGTGACTCTGTATCAAAAAGAAAGCGGAAGCTGGCCAGGTAAGGTGGCTCATGCCTATAATCCCAGCACTTTGGGAGGCCAAGGTGGGTGGATCGCTTGAGACCAGCTTGGCCAACATGGTGAAACCCCAGCTCTACTAAAAATACAAAAATTAGCTGGGTGTGGTGTGTGGCTCACGCCTGTAGGCCCAGCTACTCCAGAGGCTGAGGCAGGAGAATCACATAAGCCTGGGAGGCACAGGTTGCAGTGAGCTGACATCGTGCCACTGCACTCCAGCCTGGGTGACAGAGCAAGACTCCAACTCAAAAATATAAAAAGAGGAAGTTTGAACACAAACACATACACACAGAGAGAGAATGCCATGTGAACATGAAGGCAGAGAGCTGAGTGAAGCATCTACAAGCCAAGGTATCCCAAAGCTTGCCAACAACCCCCAGAATCTGAGAGAGAGGCAGAGAACAGATTCCCCTTCACAACCCTCAGAAGGAACTAACCCGGCTGACACCTAGACCTCAGACTGCAGCCTCCAGAACCCAGAGACAGGGCGTTCCTGTTGTTTAAGCCACCCAGTGTGTGATGCTTTGTTATGGCAGCACTAACAAGCTAATAATCACGCGAGTCCCAGCTCCTCATCTGTCATATGGGGATAATAAGGTAAACAATCATGGCGGGCCGCAGTGGCTCACACCTGGGACTTTGGGAGGCTGAGGTGGGTGGATCACCTTAGGTCAGGAGTTCGAGATCAGCCTGGCCAACATGGTGAAGTCCCTTATCTACCAAAAACACACAAAAAATTAGCCGGGCTTGGTGGGTGCGCACCTGTAATCCCGGCTACTTGGGAGGCTGAGGCAGGAGAATCACTTGAATCCAGGAGGCAGAGGTTGTAGAGAGCTGAGATGGCACCACTGCACTCCAGCCTAGGTGGCAGAGCGAGACTCCAGTTAAAAATAAATAAATAAAACAAACAACAAAAAAATCATAATAGCTTTTTTTTTTTCTGTGAACCAACCAGTGATCTTTGGCTGCAGCTCAGAAGAAACAATAGCTAACTTTTTTTTTCTGGCTCTGTTGCCCAGGCTGGAGTGCAGTGGTGCCATCTTGGCTCACTGTAGGCTCAACCTCCTGGGCTCAAGCAATACCAGCTGCTGGAGTAGCTGTGACCATGGGCATGTGCCACCATTCCTGGCTAATTTTGGTATTTTGTTTTTTTTTTATAGAGATGGGATTTCTCCGTGTTGCTCAGGCTGGTCTCGAACTCCTGAGCTCAAGCTACCCACCCACCTCCGCCTCCCTACATGCTGGGATTATAGATGTGAGCCACTGCACCCAGCCAGTAGCTAACTTTGAGTGCTTATTAGGCACTCTCTCTAGACCCTTTCTCAATCCTCTCAATAATACAACAAAGTTGCTACTGCTAGTATCCTTCTTTTCTTTTACCAGGTGCAAAGAGGTTGAGTAACTTGCCAAGGTAACCTAGCTGCTAAGGAATGGGAGCCGGGATTGAAACTGACCCTCTTAACTCTGCAGTAACAGCTCCTGAGAACCCGCCTGGCAGGGCTGTTTGTGAGGAGTGAATGAGCTCAGGAATGGCCAGTGCTTGGGGGAGCGGCCAGTACATAGTGAGTGCTCAGTCAATAGCAGCTATTGTTGTCATTTCATCCCTAGCACCTGGAGCCTGGCACGGACTGGGTGTGTGCTGCTGAGAGGAACCTTGGACTTCCTCAAATCTACCCTGGTGTCTAGAAACTGACAAGCTCGCCTGCCCTTCTGAGATTTCCCAGGGGTGGCTAACCCTGTTGACACCTTTAAGTTTTAGTTTCCACTCAGACATTCAAAGAAACAGAAAGTTAGACCTGGAAATGACCTCATAATCAGCTAAAGGGCAGGAGTGTAGGAAATCTCTGGACCACAAACTCAGGATTCAAACTGATCAGACAGCCTGCTCTGGGTCAGAATGCTAGCCTGGGAGCAAGGTCCACCCTAAGCTAAAGAGGTTCGGGGCCTTTTCTCCAGGACTGGGAGGGCCAAAGCCTCTTGCTGGAGCCTCAGCCGAGAATCACTTCATTTCCCCACAGGTCTCACTAGTGGCAGCCTGGGGTAGAGGGAAGATTGGAGAATGTAGACCCCAAGTCACCGTGTGGGGGAATGTCAGGCCGGACTCAGTTTCCCTATTTTAAGACTGGCAAGTTGGACCAGATCCAGATGGAGCTAAGATCTAAGATCTGAGTCTAAGGTTCTCTGAAGTTTGGAGACACCAACAGCTTTCTCCCACAGCTAAGTGTGGGACTCTTACAAGTAGGGTCACAGGTCACAGATGGGCACCAGGGGGAAGGAGCCAGGGAAGTGGGAGAGGGGTGGTTTCCGTAGGCCCTGCTGGACTGGCCTTCACTCACCTCCAGCCTGGCCACGGCAAATGGTGTGGCCCCCACCATGTGCTGAGGGGTGACCCCGCTGACCCGGGTTCTGTAATCGGTGATCTCTCCCTCAGGCCGGATGAACTTGTCGTAGAGCACAGCACCGTAGACGTTCACGAGGCTGCAACGAGCCAGGCCGCTCTCCCGGAGGGGCCCCAGTCCCACCATCTCACAGTCCATGGCCACCACCTCACGGCTGCCAGCCATGTTCCTTGGGAACCCTCAGAGATGCTGGAGAAAGCGGTATGGGGGGCAGTCTCATGCTTGGGCCAACCAAGCCTCCAAGTGTCCTCAGCCAACCCCAGCTGGCCTTATCCTCCGCCCTGCCCTTTGTTTCCCACACCACCTGGCCACAGTGGAAGCTGGCCTCTTGCCTCCCTCCTCCCCCTGCCTTCCCCTGCCAGTGGGTCTCAGGGCCTCTGGCCTGCCCAGCAGCCTGGGGACCAGGAAGGCCCCTCCTGCTGCCTCCCCAGCAGCTGCTCCAGCTCCCTGCTCTCACCTGCCTGCCTCTGCGCCCTCAGCTCACGTCTGCCTCTCTGCTGCCACTGCTCAGCTACTGCAGCCGTTCTCAGCAGTGACTCATCTCTGACTCCGAGGCGGCATCCCGACCCTGTTTCAGTTTCTGGTTTGTTATCAAGTGAAGTCAGGGGCGGGAGGCCAGGCACGTGGGTTGGGCTGCCTCATTTCCTGGGCTACCAGCAGGTGGGGAACTCCGCTCTCCGCCGAGTCAGGGCTGACGGAGCTGGCAGGTCCAAGTTAGGGTGCCCCTCCTTTTCCACGGCCCTCCCCCTCAGATGACGCATCTGACGTGCGTGGAGTGGATTGCAACATTTTTCTTTCCTTTCTCACCCTCCGCCCAGAGAATAAACATCCCCAGGACTGGAGCCCAGTGAATGTCCCACAACTAACTTCTGGGGCCTGCTACCAGTCAGATACTCAGTGGTCTCTTATGGGGCAGGAAAGCTGCCTCTTGGGACATATAGGCTCTTATTGGAATGAGCAGGAGTAAGCTGTGATGGTGGTGGCTAGCCCCCACTTCCAATCCAGGGAAGGCAAGGAGCGAGGGAGCCCTTACAGGCTTCTGTGGGTTCCGGATGCCTCAATGAGCTCTGCCTCCAGTGGGGCTGACACTGTGAGGCTGAAGGAGAAGCAGGCCTTGGGGGAGCCCCCACTGTGGGTTCCGGATGCCTCAATGAGCTCTGCCTCCAGTGGGGCTGACACTGTGAGGCTGAAGGAGAAGCAGGCCTTGGGGGAGCCCCCACCAGCCCAGCCACACTTCCTTGGGTCCACACTTGCCCAGGCTAGGACTTTGAGCTCTTAGAACAGTGCCTGCCGGATAGGGAGTGCTTGGTATTTAGTGAATGACAAATGAGTTACAACTGGGGCAAAAAGAGAATCAACTTTCAATGAGGAAAGTGCTCGTCTTGCACTGGGTGAGATCTGACAATGAGCTGAGTGCTCCCAGAGGATGGAAGCCTCCTACCCCCGATCTGTGTGGGATCCACGTGGATCCCTCCAATCTCACTGCTTGCCAGTGTCGTGAAGATTTGTGGTTTGAGAAGGAACTTCCCCAGGTCTGTGATGTTTTCAGCAAGTGGGATTTGGATGCCCAACTTTTCCTAAAAGACCTCAAAAGTAAAACCAAAGACTGAGATAAGTCTTCATGAGAAAGCATTGCTCCTTATTGTTCGTTGGATGCAAATTGGAGGTGCAAGAGAGTATCTTTGGTTCCCATCCTGAATAAGCAACTTTTGCTTTAATTCAGACCATGAGAACTTTTTTCAAATGCATAAAGATTTGTTACCCTGATTTAGGAGGAAATTAAGTAACATTCCTGTACTTTATGGGGACATGCACTTAAAAAGTAACCCCCTAAAGATCCCATTGGAGGTTTGATTCTACAGTCCCCATGGGACCCCCAAGTGCCCCGTGGTGATCCTCAGATTCTGTGGCAACCCCTCACACCTTCACCTCCGCTTGCCTCCTCGGGTCTCAGACAGAACACATTCCACCCCTCCAATGATTTTCCCCGTTCTGTGCCTACTCTGTCTGACCTGAGCTGCCTCTGATTCTTACCATTTCCCCGTTACTGTGGAAGCCCTACCCCAGTCCTCACCTGCCTGGCCCATAAGGCTGCAGGAGTCACTCCCAGGTCTTCCACCTCCATCTTCCTGTGCTGCTGCTCAAAATGGTCCTTTGAGTCCCACTATATTAAATTTCCCAAAATCTAACCCCTTGTACTGTTCATCACAGCACTTCTCTGCTCAAGAAATTTAGTGATTTCCTGCTGTCAAAAAAAAAAAAAAAAAAAAAAAAATCTAACCTCAACTCCAGGCAGTTTTCAGACCCTCTTTCATCAGCCCACCCGCCTTTCCAACCGGTTCATCTTGCATCACTATTCAATCTAAGGCCATTCTTTTAGGTTTAAACCTACATCCAGGCTGTTCTGAAACCCCCTGCATCTCCCAAGGACGAGGACTGATGACTAGAGGGGCCAGCAAGATCAGGTCTCTGCTTCAGGTGGAAGAGGCAGTACTACCAAGGTAAGCCCCTTTCCCATGCCCTTACCACTCCTGCCTCACCCACTTCCTTCCAACCACACTGGCTGTTTCTTTCTTCCTCCAACATGGTCATGCTCCTGTCTCAAGGCCCAGGTGTTTGCTGTCCCCTTACTCTTGAAAGCTCTTCCAATGTGACCCGGGTGGGTGTCACATTGCTCCCACTCCATGACGTATTTCCATGAAGCTGCCTCTGGCCTCTCTAAATCTGTACTTCCTGCTGGGTGATGGCTAGCGTCTATAATCCCAGTTATTCTAGGCTGAGGTGGAAGATTTGCTTGAGGCTAGGAATACAAGACCAGCCTGAGCAAACACATGGAGATCTCATCTCTAAAATAAAAAAATAATCCGTTGTGGTGACGCACACCTGTAGTCCTAGCTTCTCCAGAGACTAAGCTGGAAGGATCAATTGCACCCAGGAGTTTGAGCCTATAGTGAGCTATGACAGTCAATCCACTCCAGCCTGGGTAGCATAGGGAGACCTTGTCTTTAAAAACTAAAACTTTACTTCCTATCCCCTTCTCTGGCCTTTTCCCATAGGAATGAGCACCCTCTGAAACGCTGTATTTTACTTGTTCATTTACTGTTCCCCTGCCATCTGTTTGGTTCAATGCTGCCCCTGCAGCATCTAGGTCCCTGCCTGGATCCAGCTGAACTGTTTTCAAGTGTATTGTGTGCTCTGATGGATGCCAGCCACTGAAGGCTCAGCACCCAGAGAGAAGCCCAGCTCCAGCCAGGGTTTCCCGGTGCTGATGCTCTAGCTTTAAATGGCGCCACCCACTGGCAGGCTTTGCCCACAAATCCTCTTGGATCAAGTGACAGCAGGAGAGTGAGTCACTCAGGGCAAACTTGTCAGCCTTTCAAGACACACATCCAGCTGCAGCTGACCACCTGCAATAACCACAGCAGGTACAAGTTGGCCACTCTGTGGCCATCCCTGAGTCTACAGCACTGGCCTCAGGACACAGGCTAAGATAATGGAGGGCGAGAGGCACCTCTCCCCACAGGGGACATGTTCTCCCAGCCCAGCCACCTCCATCCCTACTGGGCACGTACCCCTAAAATGTGTATGTGTATTCCTAAATGGTGGTTGGCCTTTGAACATGGACTTGAACTGCATGGGTCCACTTACATGCACTTTTGTTCAATAAATATATTGCAAATTTTGGGGGCGATTTTTCAACAATTTGGAAAAACTCAGATGAATGGCATAGCCCAGAAATCTTGAAGAAGCTAGGTATGTTGTGAATGTATAAAATACATGTAAATACTAGTCTATCACTTGCTACCATAAATTATGCACATGTATTATTAAAAGGTAAAATTTAACAAAACTTACCTACAGACCATACCTGGCACCATTCTCAGTCAAGAGAAATGCAAACAATTGCAAAGGTGCAGTCTTAAGCCGTAAGTGCATAAAATTAACTTCAGTACATAGCGTGCTAATGTGAATGTAGCCACTTCCTGTTACTGTAGTCAGCTCAAGTGTTGCAAGCATCTACTGAAAATGTGTGATAGTAATCATCCCCACCTGAGCAGTTCATATCCAGTAAACCTGGTATCCCAGTAAAAAGTGATCTCTTGCAGTTTTTGTGGTATTTTTCATAACACTTACTGCAATTCTGTAAACCTTGAATCACTCCCTGGGACCCATGAGTGCCACGACTGATGCTGGAAGTGCTCCAGAGTCATGACATTACAAGGAAAAGCTGAATTGCTGGATATGTCTTATAGAATGAAGTCTACAGCTGTGGTTGCTGCCATTTCAGACAGACGGTTCATCTCGCATGTAAGTAAAAAACTTAGATACAGTACTACTGAAATATATTTTCTTATTTTTCTCTAGCTTATTTGATTATAATACAGTATAGGGCCGGGTACAGTGGCTCACGCCTATAATCCCAGCACTTTGGGAGGCTGAGGTGGGTGGATCATGAGGTCAAGAGATTGATACCATCCTGGTCAACAAGGTGAAACCCCGTCTCTACTAAAAATACAAAAATTAGCTGGACATGGTGGTATGTGCCTGTAGTCCCAGCTACTCGGGAGGCTGAGGCAAGAGAATTGCTTGAACCCAGAAGGCGGAGGTTGCAGTGAACCAAGATCACGCCATTGCACTCCAGTCTGGGTAACAACAGCGAAACTTCGTCTCAAAAAAAAAAAGAATACAGTATATAATACATACAACATATAAAATGTGTTATTCAGCTGCCTGTTATCAGTAACGCTTCCAGTCAAAAGTAGGTTATTAGTTGAATTCTGGGGGAATCAAGTTATACGCACATTTTTTATTGTATGGGAGTCAGCATCCCAATCCCTATGTTGTTCAAGGGTCAACTGTATATACTATAGGTTGAACCATAAAAAACAGTGGGGCTTGGGCTGGGCACAGTGGCTCATGCCTGTAATCCCAGCACTTTGGGAGGCCAAGGTGGGCAAATCCTATGAGCTCCAGAGTTCAAGAACAGCCTGGGCAACGTAGCAAGACCTCATCTCTACTAAAAACAGAAAAATCAGCCAGGTGTGGTGGCATGTACCTGTAGTCCCAGCTATACTTGAGAGGCTTAGGCTGGAGGATCACTTGAGCTGGGGAGGTTGAGGTTACAGTGAGCTAAGATTGCACTGCTGCACTCCAGCTTGGGTGACAGAGTGAGCCCGTCTCAAAAACAAAAAACTGTAGACTATTAGCAATTTCACGTGGTTTAATACATGTAAAACTATGCTAATGGATACAAATTATAAAACACATGCTAAGCAACTGACTGCATATCAAAAAGCCTGCAAGAAGATGCTCAATATTACTAATTATTAGGGAAATGCAAATCCAAACCACGTCACCTCATACCCACTAGGATGGCTGCTAAGGAAAAACAGAAAATGGTAGCAAGGATGTGGAGAAATCAAAACCCTTATTCACTGTTGGTGGGAATGTAAAATGGTACAGCTACTACAAAAAACAGTACAGCGGTTCCTCAAAAAAACCTAATTATAGAGTTACTATATGATCGGCCAGGTGCAGTGGCTCATGCCTGTAATCCCAACACTTTGAGAGGCGTGCTGGATCACCTGAGGTCAGGAGTTCGAGACCAGCCTGACCAACATGGTGAAACCCTGTCTCTAGTAAAAATACAAAAAATTAGCCAGGTGTGATGGTGGGTGCCTGTAATCCCAGCTACTCAGGAGGCTGGGGCAGGAGAATTGCTTGAACCTGGGAGGCAGATGTTGCAGTGAGCTGAGACTGTGCCATTGTACTCCAGCCTGGGTGACAAGAATGAGATTTCATCTTTAAAAAAAAAAAAAAAAAAAGAATTACTTTTTTGTATGATCCAGCAATTCCCCTACTGGGTATATATTTAAATGAACTGAAAGGAGGGTCTTGGAGAGCTATTTGTACACCCACACTCATAGCTGCATTACTCACAATGACCAAGTGGGGAAGTAACCTAAGTATTGTTCACTGACAAACTGGATAAACAAAGCATAGTATATACATACAAAAAAATTATCCAGCCTTAAAAAGAAAATTCTGGCCAGGTGCAATGGCTTACCTATGTAATCCCAGCACGCTGGGAGGCCAAAGCAGGAGGATCACTTGAGGCCAGGAATTCAAGACCAGCCTGAGCAACATAGTGAGACCCGTCTGTACAAAAAAAATTTTGTTTATTTTGCCAGGCAGGGTGGCACGTGCCCGTAGTCCCAGCTACTTGGGAGGCTGAGGCAAAAGGATCACTTGAGCCCAGGAGTTTGAATCCAGCCTGGGCAACAGTCGCTTAAAAAATAAAATTCTGACACACGCCACAACATGAGGACACTGTGCTAAGTGAAATAAGGTAGTCACATAGTGACCAATAAGGTCTAGTTCCAGCTGTATAAGCCATCTAGTCAAATTCATAGAAATAGAAGGTAGAAAGGTAATTGGCAGGGATTGACAAAAAGGGGGAAACGGAAAGTTTCAGTTTCACAAGATGAAAAAGTTTGAGATTTGTTTCTCAACAAAGTCAGTACAGATCTAAACTACTGAACCGTACACTAAAAGCAGTTAACACAGTACATTTTGTTATGTGTATTTTGCTACAATTAAAAACTTTTAAAGTGAGTACACAGCTTCAAGGAGAAACAAAAAAGGTAAACACGGCCAAGAGCAGTGGCTCCTGCCTGTAATCCCAGCACTTTGGGAGGCCAAGGTGAGTAGATTGCCTGAGTCCAGGAGTTTGAGACCAGCCTGGCTAACACAGTGAAAACCCTTCTACTAAAAATACCAAAAAACTTAGCCGGGCGTGGTGACATGTCTGTCATCCCAGCTATTTGGGAGGCCAAGGTGGGAGGATCTCCTGAGCCAGGGAAGTCAAGGCTGCAGAGAGCCATGATTGCACCACTACATTCTAGCCCCAGCCACAGAGTAAGACCCTGTCTAAAACGACAAACAAAACTTGTGCTTTGTAATATGGAAATAAGAAATAAATTATCTAAATTCTGTAGCTCTGCTGTTTTCTTGCCACAGCCCACGGCATCCTCTTGAAAACTGCCCTCTGAAGGCCAAAGCACCCGGCAAGGCTTAGTGCCCCAGTCCCTTCCCAGACCCCAGCTTGAGAATTCCCGGAAAGGGCCACTTCACCCATTTTTCCAATTGTGTTTTATTCCAGAACAAATGGTTTTACACCAAAGCTGATCTTAAGTAGTACATTTCCCCACTGATAACAGCACCATCTTCTTTCAACCCCCAGAGACCGAGGGATCGAAGCTACTGCTCAATCGAGTTTCACGTTACCTACCGACTTTTAAAAAATCCAGAAGCCCTGGAGCCAGGCCAGATGTGGTAAAAGACTCAGCCAGCCTCTTTCTCTGTGCTGTCCTGATAGGAAGGGAGCCAGTGACTGGACAATCTATAACCCCAAGTTTGTGGAACTTGGGGCTTCAGCTGAGGGTGGGGTAGTGTGATGTCAGCACTGTTTCTACCTTCCTGTCCTGTGCTGCTTTGCTTTGTTGTCACTTCCCAGGATTGGGACACTGACCAGAATCCACACCTGCACCTGCTGGCCACAGACAAGACACACGGATAACCGTGACCCTCCCTCTGTGTCCTCACTGAGGCCAGTGCCCCCCCGCCCCCCCACTGCTGGAAACAGCCAAAAGCTGAGTTCTGTGTGAGCCACAGCTGTTCATCCTGTGGACTCGGGTTATCCTGAAGAGGTTCCAACAAATCCTCAAAGAATAAACAATGTTGTGGCCCTATTTTGGGCTTAAAAAATAAAGGATAAACAGAAGCTCACAGTGGCTGTGGCTCACCACACGCCAGGCACTGTGAGAAACAGTTCAGATTTAGTGCTCATTGCAACCCTGTGAGGTAGGCTGTACCACTATCCCCATTTTACAGATGAGGAAACAGCAGGCTCAAGAGTGAAGCCCCTCACCTTCCTAAGGTCTCAAAGCTAAGCAGCAGCAAAGATGAGGCCCCAAGGTCTGTGTGACCTGAGCTCTTGGTTACCCGATACTTCGCAGCTGTCACTTAGGAAACGAGAACATTTTTAGAAATAGGAGAAAACCCACTAGCCACAGTGATTGTCAATGAGCTGAGGGGGCAGCAGACTAGGTTCAAGGCCACTGCATACCTGGCAATGCCCTGCCCCAGCCCCAGGAGACAGGCAGACTCCACTCCCCTAGACGAGTGGCCCTGCTCTTAACAAAGGTCAGGCACAGTTCTGCACAAAGGCCCAGAATTCAAACTGCTGTCGTGTCTCTTTTGTTTAAGTGCCCAGTACTGGGTGGACTGGGGAAATCCCTGATTTGGGTCAAAATAAATATGCCAGTTCTCGTCCAAAGCTTACCCGTCTTCCCTCCTCCCTGAGCTGGGCCTGGGGTCTTCTGTTGCCAAGCATGTGAAGGGGCCAGCTCCCCACAAGAAGCCTGTGAACTCTGCTATTCCACTGTCGCCTAGCAGGGAGCTGACAGGCCATGAGGAGCAGAGTTCCTATGATGGCTACAGCCAGAGCTCCAGGTCAGGGAGGGGGAAAGAAAGGTCTCCTTTAGGACTTAACTCTTTAACTTCAGAGCATATTTGTTCTGAACCCGAAACTGAGTGGAGGAAGAGGTAGACCAAAAAAGAGAACTTTACCCCCAGGCATTGAGCTGGGGTAAGGGAGCTCCAGGATATTGACACTCCCACCCCCCATCCCCAGAAAGGGTGATATGATCCCTTTCAGTAGCACAGCATGACTCAGATCTGGGGGGGTGGGGAAGGCTGAAACAACCTGGGCGGTCAGTTGGCACATTCCTTACTCCTGCTGGGCCCTGGAAGATGGTCCACCTGACATCTCCATGGAGCCTGTAAAGTGCTATTAGCAAAACCACAGGAGTCAGGAGAAAGAACCAACAGCCCTGGAGAAACAGAGGGCTATGCTGTGAGTGGACGGTGTCAGCCTAACAGATGACCCAACATCTCCGGCCCTGGGGCTGGCTCACTGCATCCTGTCCCACCCTGCCCAAGAAGGAACGCCTGCTGCTATCCTGGCCCCCACTTCCTACCAGCCACATGGGCAGCCCAGCCAGGGAGCCCAACCCCCTTCTCAATCCCTTCTGTCCTGTGCCTCTCCAGCTCCGCCTCTGCTGCTGCCGGCCGGGTCCTCAGGCCAGTACTGGTCCTCCATGTACTGCTCCATGTCTGTGCTGCTGTCAGGTTCTCTGTCCTCAGGGCAGGTCCAGAGGCTGCAGGCCTCCTGCTGTTCCCACTGCACTTCCACCAGCCGGTAGAGCTCCATGGCTGTCGTGGCATCTTCTACCGATGAGTGCCCGTGCTGGCCCACCTGCTGACAAGAGTTGACACATCACTACCTGCAGGCCCAGTGAGATGCCTGCTACCCCACGAAGCGAGGCCAGTTTCCCAGGGCTCTGTGCAGGCCCAAGAACACATGTGCTCAGAAGGGAAGTTCACAGAAAAGGGAGGGAACCTCAACTGCACCCTACAAGCCATCCAGCTTCTCCAAGCCTGTTTTCCTCAAATACAAGGGGTGCTAAAAATCTCTTACTCCAAAAGCTTGCAGACCAGAAGAATAATAAATGTGAAGCCCAGCAGGAGTAAGAGGTACTGGCTTCTCCTGATCAAAGGCTCTGTGTCTGATTGTAGGGGATGGGAGACCATCCTTCAGGAATGCGGGGACAGAGCCAAGAGTTAGGCAGGGGACAGATCTGGAGGAGATCGGCCTGGGAGAATGTGTTCTGAGAGAATGGCAGTAGACACTGGGGAAGAAGGATCATGGAGAGAAGCACCCGGGGCTGCGTGTACAGGTAGGACACCTGTTTAGGCAAGCTCCCTGGACCTGGACTGGGGAAGAAAGAACGCCAGGGAGGCCAGGTGGGCCTCCGCGCCTTCCAGCCACTCTCCCACCACGCACCTGGATCCTCTTGTGTAGCAGCTGCAGGGCCAGATCCTTTAGAGAGACCCGGGCCCGGGTGTGGAGGCTGGGCTGGCTAAGGAAGTTGGAAACGTAGGTGGTATCCCGGGTCTGGCTCCGAGGGTGGACGTACTTGAGGGCCTGGAAGTCGTTGTGCAGTGCGTGTCCCACCACCACCTTGCCCTTCAGGAGCTTAAGGATCTGTGAGCAGAGAGAGGAGTCAGGGAGGTCCCCCCCAGCAACAGGCTGGCAGGAGAGACACGCCCTGGAATCCCCTGGCCAATAGGTGCACTGTTCCCTGTGGAGGGAAGAGGCCCAGAGCGGGGAGAGGAAGAGCTCCACAGTCAAGCATGCTGCCCAAGTCTGAACCCATGCCCTTCTACTGACTATACCCACAGCATACCTAAGTCCTCAGCACCTGTCAAAGGGGAGCACCGCCGCAGCATTCCATGGGGCAGCTGTAAGGACTAAAGGAGGTCATGGAGGGAAGTCTTCCTGCCGCTAGATACAAGCAACTCGACAGCTGGCACAGGCTCTCAGCCTGGAAGACACCACCAGGTCATCAGGCCTCCCACCCCGCCCAGCTCCTCCCCAGGTCCTACCATGCTGCAGGTCTGGGCTTCACTCTACCCCCTCAGGAGGCCTTCCCGTGCCCCCCTCTACATCGGGGCCCCTGCTGCTCTCTGCATTTCATACTCTCTCCTTCAATAGCATCACACTTGCCAGCCAGCCTCACCCCCACTGTAAGGTCTGAGTGAGGGGCCATGTTTGTTTGACTTGATCACTGATGCCAGGAAGGCATCACGTTTCGTTTTCTTTTCAATGCCCATCTTTTTTGTAGTAGAACCCATTCCATTTGCTGACTTATTATTTACTTATCACAGGAGGTGATCAATAGCAATAAAGACCAGCTGGGTGAAGTCAGCAGAACCGTGCCTGTCACTAGTAGATACGCCATAAGCAGCAGCTCTTGTGAGTAGTCAGGGACGTAATCCGTCTTCAGGACTCTGCCCCCTTGCCCCGCTGTGTGCCAACTCCTCCCCACCCTCTTAACCTGCTCTCTTGCTCAGCTCTGGCCACCTGGACAATGTGTTCCTCTCCTCCCTGCCAGGTGCCCTCCTCACACACCAGGGAGGCCACGTCCAGGGCCATGGGCCAGCAACCCCCCTCCAGCCCTCTTAGCCAGGCTTGGGCTTCCCTTATCACCGGCTGCAGGCCTCCACAGCCTACCTCTGCCGGCAACATATGGTTTATCCCTAAACCCAGCGTTGAAGGCAGATGGATGAGATGCATTGAGACTTTACAGTAGGGACATGCCACCATGCTGGTCACTCACCATGCTGCCCCTCCCCGCAGTCAGCCACAAAGTGGAAAGAGATGAAGCACACCCACACTGGTCCAGAGTCTGGGCAGACAAAAAAATGGCCCTGCTCTTGGGACCCCACCCACTAGGTCAATGGAAGGCACCAAGGAGCTGGAGGGTTCACCACAGCTGCCCTCTTATTGCTACTCTTCTGATCTGCCTGGTTGCTGTATAAAATAACCTCCAGCCATTTCAAAGGAATGCTCAGGCCAGTATTTCCCACCTTGCCTAATCCCAATAATTACCCAGAAGTGTTAAAAAGTGGTTCTGTTAGAAGGCTTGTGTAGAAAGATTTGTCTCAGTGCAACTGATGTATGACACATTTTGAGAACAATGCAAATTTCACCCTTGCTTATGCATAATTTCATCTTTGAGAAACACTGAGTGAACGCAGAAAACTGCACCCTGCTGAACTGAGCCAAGAGGGAGTACACAATATACACACAGCCCAAACATCTCCCAGCAACCCTGGTTCACCGGTGTGACGGGCCACACCCATCCACAGCTAGTGCTGCACTTCCTGTCTGACTTCAGAGGACTCCACTACTTCTCAGTAACTCAAGCTGCAACCTTTCTGACTCCTGTTTCCACAAGCAAGCTGCAGGTCTTCTTCAAGGTGAAGTGCCATACTTACTGGTGTGTTGTGCATTTCTTAACCATTTAAGATGTGTGGAATAAGAAAAAAAAAAAGCCGGGTGTGGTGGCTCACGCCTATAATCCCAGCACTTTGGGAGGCCGAGGCAGGTGGATCATGAGGTCAAGAGATTGAGACCATCCTGGTCAGCAAGGTGAAACCCCATCTCTACTAAAAATACAAAAAAATTAGCTGGGCATGGTGGTGCAAGCCTGTAACCCCAGCTACTTGGGAGGCTGAGGCAGAATTGCCTGAACCCAGGAGGCGGAGGTTGCAGTGAGCCAAGATCGCGCCATTGCACTCCAGTCTGGGTAACAACAGGGAAACTTGATCTCAAAAAAAAAAAAAAGAAACATGATGTGTAAAACTGGAGTGCCATTTTTATTAGGTTTCTATCTTTTTACTTTTGGGTTTCACTGATGGTCTTTATCGCCTTCCTCCATTTCCCCTTAAGCCCTGTGCCTTTATGGTGCACGTCTGCACAGTATGATGATTTTAATGGAATCCAGGTCAGAGCCCTTGCCAAGCCTACTGGATCAGTCTCTATGGAGGAAACTGGGGACAAGGATCCTAGAGATTGTTAAAAAGGCCTTACGTGTTTCCTAAGGTCGAGTGTGTTTGGGAATTCCTGGTACATCAGTATGGTCCCAACCACTAATTAATTTTTTCTAAGCACTAAGAAATTAACATAAGGAAATGCACCAAAACATGAATACTTGAACCTGATGCCACTGTGGGCTTTACAAATTTTATATCAATGCATACAACTTTTATAACAGAAAGCAAACTCTGAAATGTAAGCTGTTTATCACCCTACAGTTGGTGCAGCCTTTCTTTTCTTTTCTTTTTTTTTTTTTTGAGATGGAGTTTAGTTTCGCTCTTGTTACCCAGGCTGGAGTGCAATGACACAATCTTGGCTCACCGCAACCTCCGCCTCCTGGGTTCAGGCAATTCTCCTGACTCAGCCTCCTGAGTAGCTGGGATTACAGGCACGCGCCACCATGCCCAGCTAATTTTTTGTATTTTTAGTAGAGATGGGGTTTCACCATGTTGACCAGGATGGTCTCGATCTCTTGACCTCGTGGTCTACCCGCCTCGGCCTCCCAAAGTGCTGGGATTACAGGCTTGAGCCACCGTACCCGGCCAGCAGCCTTTCTACACTGCCCTGTGCAACAGGCCAGCAATCCTTATCTGGAGGCAGATTCGGGATTTTATTTTTCTTTCCCCCATTCTATGGAGAAGGAACCTACTGATTGGAGCAGCTAGGTGACTTTCCCAAGGTTTCTTGCCCCCAGTGCAGCTAAGTGGTGACTCAAACCCAGGGTGGCTCTTTCCAGCCCACCACACCTCCCAAACAAGTCCCCACCCTGCCCTTACCTCTTTCTGGGCCACCTGGAAGGGGATAGCCTTGCGCATGTGCTGCCGAGTGACGCCACTCCAGCGAGTACGGTAGTCAGCGACGGGCATCTCAGGCCTGATGTACTTGTCATAGAGGACATCGCCATAGTAACTCACCACGGAACAGCGGGCCAGCTCGCTCACCCGCCCTCGGGGTCCCGTGCCCACCATCTCACAGTCAATAGCTACACACCTGCTGGGCAAGGGCCCTGAGGCTTTCCTGGAAGCGGGCCTTCTGCTGCATGGGGCAGCACCAGATCCAGCCCTCGGACACTGCTTCCCACTGCTGGCAGCTTCAGGAGCTGGTGCTGCCCCCAAAGGGGTGGGCAGTGGGGAGGACCCTGGTTCTGGAGGCATGCTCAGCAGCCCCTGCTCCTGCAGCAAAGCCTTCCGGGCCATGAACCGCTGGTGCTGTCGGCTCCTTCTCTTGTGCCTTCTCCGAAGCACATCCTTGGCATTGGGGATGGTGAGGGAAGGGCACAGGCACTGAGCAGACTCAGGGGCCTCCCGGGGCACCATTCCAGTCAGCTCACTGCTTGGGGCAAGGGAAGCCTGGGGAGTAATCTTCCAACGGGCCAGCAGCCTGGAGAGAGAACACACAGGTAGAGGGGCTGGGTGAGGGGTGCCAGGCAGCCCGCCCACCCTCCTCCCTGCAGTGCTCCCAGAGCCCTGCACTGTAGCTCGTGGCTCCCACATTGAGTCGAGGACCTATTTCACTAATAAATGCACTCATACTGTAAACACATGCAAACCATACAATACACGGTATCAATCTGCTCAATGACCTGAGCAAATACTATCATCTTCATTTTACACGTAAGAAACTGTGCCATGGAGGTGAAGAAACTGCCCAATTAGCAAAAGCCAAAGGCTGATAGGAACCCAGAACCCAAACCCTCAACCTTAAACCATGGTCAAGTCCAGTACTGTTAGCAGCAGACTTTTTTCCGTTGTGATTTTTAGCTAAGGAAGCATCAGACTTTGACAGTGTTATGGTTACAGAAAAATGAAGATAACAGAAACTGTATAGCCCTTTCTAAGAAATCTTTTTTTGAAATATGAAGACACAGATCCTCAGCAGAACCTGGAGAAGAAATTTCACAGGAAGCCCGCAGTAATCATACTTTTGTGTAATATGTTGACCAAATGTAATTTTTTTTTTTTTTTTTTGAGATAAGGTCTTGCTCTGTCACCCAGGCTGGAGTGCAGTGGCATGATCACGGCTCACTGTAGGGCTCAAGTGATCCTCCTACCTCAGCCTCCCAGTAGCTGGGACTACAGGTGCACACCACCACATCTGGCTAATTTTTTTGTATTTTGAGTAGCAACATTGCCCAGCTGGTCTTAAACTCCTGGACTCACACTTTGGCCGCCCAAAGTGCTAGGATCACAGGCATGGGCCACCGTGTCCAGCCTTTAAATGGAATTTCTTTACCTGACTTTGTAATTCATTTATCACCACAGCATCTACAAACATGGAGAAGTCCTAATCTGAAGCGCTTGCAGATTTCTGTGGCGGGATCCCACCCAGTGAACCGTAAGCCCTCATCACTGAATGCTGGGATAAAAGATGATCTCGCACATGGAAGCTATATATTGGATGTTCATGTGAGTTTGCAAAATCCAGCATCTTCCCAACAGCCAAGGCCATAGCTTGAAAAGCCTATTTCATTTGTTATGCCAAGTCAGTCAGTACCTTTTTAACAGATCAAACAAACAAACTAGCGCTTTGAAGTCAGGCAGAGCAAGGTTTAGCTCTTTTTTTTTTTTTGAGAGGGAGTTTTGCTCTTGTTGCCCAGGCTGGAGTGCAATGGCGCCATCTCAGCTCACTGCAACCTCTGCCTCCCTGGTTCAAGCGATTCTCCTGCCTTAGCCTCCCAAGTAGCTGGGATTACAGGCATGCACTACTACACCTGCCTGATTTTTGTATTTTTAGTAGAGACAGGGTTTCTCCATTGTTGGCCAGGATGGTCTCAAATTCCTGATCTTGCATAATCCACCAGCCTCAGCCTCCCAAAGTGCTGGGATTACAGGCATGAGCCACGTGCCCAGCCTACCTCAGCTTTTTGTAAGTTACCTGAACTGCTGAGTTTCAGTTTTCAAGCATGTAAAATGATCCTACCACCCCCTCTCCTGGGTAAAGAGGAAATGACACAATGTACGCTGGCATCTTCCTGTATTCTAAACAGTAAAGGCCACTGCTCCTTCTCCCAGAGAGGTCAGACTCTAGCCTGTGGTTGGCAACCAGCTCTTTGCAGGCCACAGTAGCCTCCGCCTGGACACACTGCCCTTTCCTAGCCCACAGGTCTTCCCCTGCTCCCTTTCCACTTACAGCCCTCCTGCCCTTTCAGACTCAGCTACTGTTCTGCCACCACCCAGAAGCCCTTCTGGAAGAACCTTTATCCCACTGGGTTGCACAGACCAATGCCACACTGAGGCTCTCCGGGGTCTCCACTGTGCCAGGTGCTGGACAGCTGCGAAAATGGATCCTGAACTCCAAGAGATTTAGTCTCACGGCAGAGACCGAAACCAAATAGAAAGTGTGTTAAGGGCTGGATTAGAGGAGCTAGGGAGGCAAAGCAGGCTGGAGGACAATTCTCTGGAGGCTTCCTGGAAGAGGCTAAATCTGTGTACATGTAAAATAGCAACCTTCCAGGTAGAAGGGAGAGGAATCAGTGGCCATGTTAGGGGCAAAAGCCTGAAAAAGGAGTCGAGGAAGAGGGCCCATCAGCACCCTGAAGTCACTGGGGTGAAGAGCATAAGGTGGGTGGTGCTGGAGGAACTGCTCTCCTCTCCTTTGTACCATTTCATCTTCTGTTCCCTACCCTGGTGGCCCTTCCACTAGCCACTCCTACCTCAATCTGGTGTCCCCTGAATCAGTCTCAACTGGCCAAGCAAGCGGGGGAGCCCCAGAGGCACCTACGGAGGTCACTGAAATATCCCACAGTAGCCCTGACCCAGGACATTAACAGTCTAGCTGGGGAGCAAAGAAATTCACCCCTCTGTGCTGAGCTCTATAGCACAGTTAGAGAATTATTACACCCTTCAAAGTCTATTGGTAAACACAGTCTACCTCAGAGCTGTCTGAAGGCAGATTAGAGCCTTCGTTGTCTCTAATGAAGGCAGCTCCTACATGCCCGGGCAAGCCCGGCTCCGACTGCCCGCCTATTGGCTCGCTGGACGGTGACCCTTCCCCAACAGCCAGCCTAGAAGCCAGCACAGGGCAGGTCCTCTTCAGAAGAGTATTAGAAGACGTCTGGAGAAGATGAAAACCCGAGCAACAGCAGCAGAGATGAAGAGAAATGGGAAGTGGGACAGGAGGTGAGGTCAGTTGCCAGGTTCGATGATGCCAGCATTTGCATAAAGACTCCCCACACTCTAGGGCAGGACAATGCATCCTGACTGACTCATCCTGACCTGACTCATCCATCCTGCTTGCTCATCCCTTCCTTTCCAGGAGAAAAGGTCTCTTTTAAAAGGGTTTTAACTGTAACCAACTTCCTCAGATTGACAGTCACATCTTAGAACTGACAAATTCGGAACCTCAATTTGCCTCAGCCCAGCAGTAAGAACAAAAAGCCGAAGAAGCCCAATGCCAACCCTGCTAATAACTAATTTGGGAAAGGGGAATGGGAGGTAACCCCCTCCTTTCTCTGTGAGGGGCTGAGGACTAGAGTGAGTGGTTTTCCTGACCCTACTGGCAAGGTTTTAAAGAAGCCAGAAATTAAGATATCTGAGAAAAGGTCTCTATGTCTCCTATTTCAAGAGATAAAAGCAGTCCTTTTCCAAACACCCTGACCTTGCTGATTCTCAAAACCAACAATCATCAAGGACACACATCTTTGGGGGCCTAAATGTACCTCAGTGAAGCTGGAGAGAAGTTCCACTCAGATAACCCTTTCATCAAGGACAAATACAAGCGTTTCTCCAGCCTGGACCCAGCACTCTGAGAATCAAACACCGGACCTTCAGGCAGGGGGTCCCTGGCCTAAAGGAGGGGTCCCAGCTGCAGAGTGAACAGAGCAAAGGCCCTAAAGGAACCACTAAGTCAGAATCCTCAGTGGCATCAGAGCCACCAACCTGCTGGCTGATCAGGAGGGCAGAGGGCAGTTCTAGATAGACCCTGCTCTGGCACTAAATAGCTAGACGATCTGGGGCAAATCATTGTCCCTTCAACTTCAACTGACCGCTGTGAATTAGATTAGGGCTTCCCAAAAGTAGTTAATTACCAGAAGACATCTGATAAAAGGCCAATTTTCCGGCCCACCCCCAAACCGTGCTAATTGCCATTTTGGGAAAAGGGACTTGATAACCTAGATTTTTTGGAGGGTAGAACGAAGTTTTGCTCTTTTTGCCCAGACTGGAGTGCGATGGCACGATCTCCGCTCACCGAAACCTCCCGGGTTCAGGCCAGAGAATCTGGATTTTTAAAAACAGCGTGCACGACCCTCAAGCCACGATTCCGATAATCGTCCAAATCTGAGAAAACCTGGCTCGATAAGGTCCCCTGCGCTGCTAAAAAGCCCACGGAACAACGACAACAAGTCTATCCTCGCACGACCTCCCCGCCCGCGGGCGTTCTCCCAGGGGTGAGGCGTGGGAGGCCTGATCTCACCGGGAAGGACTCCGGCGTTGGTCACTTGCTGGCCGTGACCGCTGGGCCGAGTCCCAACACCCAGCGCCGCCCCCTCTGGCCCTGGACCCCCGAGCAGAGAAAGGACTGGGGACAGGCGGCGCCCGGCCTGCTTTTCTGCTGACCGGTAGAGCAGGGTCAGCCCAGCTCAGGCGTCCCCGCCGCAGGCCCGGGCGGACACAGCGCGCGGGGCCTTAGAACCCGCGACAAACGGCCTCTGCCCTCCCGACCCCGCCGCCCCGGATCAGGGTCCCGGATCTCACCTTAAGCCCCACGCGTCTCTTCCGGTCCGCACGTGGCTTCCCGAACACCGGCAGCTCCTACATGCCCGGGCAAGCCCGGCTCCGACTGCCCGCCTATTGGCTCGCTGGACGGCAGCGCCCGCCCAAGGCCTCTTCTAATTGGCCTAGCCTGCCTGATGGCGGGGAGGTGGCCGAGAGCAGAAGGGGAGGGACTCCTGAAGGGGGCGTGACTCGTGCAGGGAGCCGACCACACTGGCGGGAGGGGAGGCTGGCCTCCTCTGGTCCCCTCTGGCTCCCGTTTGTGTTCCCTGGCTCCAATCCACTCCGCTACCTGGGTCGGGATGTGGGCTCCTGTGGGCCTCATACCAGAAAAGGCCGGATAACTTACAGAGTACACCCACATCTTCAGATTGGGAACACCAGCCCCTACCTCCTCCGGTGTTCTAGAATTCAGTGAAACAATATAAACAGTGGGCATTAACTAAACACCGCGTCAGCGCTACTTTTTCACTTATTCTTTTGCAAAACTTGACTGGTAAGTATTAAGTTCCTACATGGGCTTGGCAGTGGGATGCACAGTATAAACTCATAAGCACTTTGAGTTGATTATGTTACTTTAAAAATGAAGGCTGGGGCGGTGGCTCACGGTTGTAATTCTAACACTATGAGAGGCCAAGGCAGGCGAATCACCTGAGGTCACAGGTTTGAGACCAGCCTGGCCAACATGGAGAAACCTTGTGTCTACTAAAAATGCAAAAGTAGCCGGACGTGGTGGTGGGCACTGTAATCCCAGATACTCAGGAGGCTGAGGCACGACAATCTCTTGAATCCTAGAGACGGCGGTTGCAGTGAGCCAGGATCACACCACTGCCCTCCAGCCTGGGCGACAGCACAAGACTCTGTCTCAATAAATAAATAAATAAATAAATGAAGCTAGGCACTGTGGCACATGCCTGTAGTCACGGCTACTTTGGAGGCTGAGTCAGGAGGATCACTTAGGAGGGCAAAAGTTCGAGGCCACGGTGCACTCTGCGCTGTCCTCCAGCCTGGACAACATAGTGAGACCCCACCTCTGCAAAAAATAACTAAATGAAAATGAATAATGTTGGTATCAAATAATTATGATATTCGGACTCCATTGCATTTATTTAATGGCATATTTTTAAGATGTCCGTACTTGAAGATGCTCCTGACTTAACAACAAGGTCATGTCCTGATAAACCCACTATAATTCACAAGTTGAAAATGCACTTAATACATTTAACTTAGCAAACATCCATAGCTTAGCCTGATACACCTTAAATGTACTCACAACATTTACACTGGCCTACAGTTGGGCAAAATCACCTAACACAAATGTTATAATAAAGTACTGAATACGTCACATCATTTATTCAAGCCTATACTGAAAATAAACAACAGAATGGTTGTATGGGCACTTGAAGTAAGGTTTCTACTAAATGTGTATTGCTTTTGCACTATTATAAAGTTGAAAAATGTTAAATTGAGCCATTGTAGATCAGGGACCATCTATACTTACATTTATGATAAAAAAATATTGCTAAGTAAAAAAACTTATGTCTAGGTATTCATTAAGGGTGGTCTCACACTGGCATCCTGACTGTGGATGGTAATACCTGCTCCCCTTCTTTCTTAGGGAAGCCACTAAACTCGCCCTCCAACTTCTGCTGGCTGTGTGACCTTTGGCAAGGCACTTGATCTCGCTGAACCAAGTCAGCCCTTCACTTCTCCCCAGAAGCTGCACCTGGGTTGATAAAAATATCTCCTCCTAGGCCAAGCGCGGTGGCTCACACCTGTAATCCCAACACTTTAGGAGGCAGAGGCGGGCAGATCACAAGGTCAGGAGTTCAAGATCAGCCTGGCCAACATGGTGAAACTCCATCTCTACTAAAAATATAAAAATTAGCCAGGCATAGTTGTGCGCGCCTGTAATCCCAGCTACTCAAGAGGCTGAGGCAGGAGAATGGCTTGACCCTAGACGCAGAGGTTGCAGTAAGCCAAGATGTCGCCACTGCCCTCCAGCCTGGGTGACAGAGCAAGACTCTGTCTTGAAGAAAAAAATCTCCCTCCACAAAGATTAGGGCTCCTTTATAACAGAGCTTGTTTGGACTGGGGCCTGGTGGGGAAAAGCCCGTGATCCAAACTCCGACCTCATGGACCCCAACCTTTCCCCCTCCACGTTTTTGATCTGAAAACACTTGCAGCAGGACTTGACCTGTTTTGCACTTGCAAATTGTTATGCTACAATCAAAGCACCATTCTGCCTGCCCCGTATACTCATTTCCAGGACTTTTCTGGGGTTCTGTGGGGATCCCTATGGTGCTGGACCAGATGCAAACTTGAAAGAGAGTGCTGATCTGCTCAGTTTTTAGAGCAATTGTTCTCCACGTGCCATCCTAGCCCAGCAAGCATGGGCATTTGCCTGGGAGTTTGTTGGATATGCTGACTCAGAAAATCAGGGTATAGGGCCCAGAAATGCATGGGATGGGGCCCAGAAAGTTACGGGATGAGATTGAGAAAATTAGGGTGTGGGGCCTGGCGTTTTAACAAGCTGATGAACAGCTGATCCTGAGGCACTGCTCAAGTTTAGGATACATTGTGTTGGAGGGTATGAAACTGACAACACGCCCAGTGCTAAGCGAGAACAATGTGGTCGTTATACTCACGCAGCTGCCCCCTCTCTTAGCTCTCTGGATCCAGAGGGGCTGGACATTGGACCTACCAGGACACAGCCTGGCACCAATACAATTAAGGTACCTTTGTGCTCTCCCCCAACTCCTGACACTGTCCAGGATTCTCAAACCCAGGCTAAGTCTGACACGGCTAATTTTTTAATGGAAGATTGGAAGGTTTGATCGGGTGGGGCGGGGAGGGTTATTGTCTGCCGTTGCTTGCTCCATTCGACTGGAGTTTTCTCACTTATAAAATTAATTCTTCTATCAGTGGTCCCCAGTCTTGACTCAACATGCTGAACTTTAAGAAAAAAAAAAAAGACGCTTGGGTCACACCCCACGATTCTGATTTAACTGTTCTGGGGTGGGGCCTGAAAAAGGAGGTTTTTCAGTCTCCTCAGGTGTTAGTAGTTTGTCGCTGAGACTGAGAATTGCCGCTAAAGTGGAGTTACCTAAAGCTTCCAGCAGAGGACGCTGCCTCCCTGCTCATCCAGGGAAACGTGCTCAGGGAAACCAGAATGCCGCAGTTGCGATGGGAGGGGCTCGAAATCTGGCTGCTGCGTAAACCAGGTTGATGCAGTTAAGGAAAGGGGCCAGATGCCCTAGCCCTTGGATCGCCGACGCTTTTGTGTTGAGACTCCTAGAAAGTTACCTTAAAAAGTGGTAAGTTAGGGCCGGCCGCGGTGGTTTACGCTGTAATCCCAGCATTTTGGGAAGCCAAGGTGGGAGGATAGCTTGAGCCCAGGAGTTTAAGACCAGCCTGAGCAACACAGGGAGGCCCCTTCTCTACAATAAATAAAAAATTAGCCAGACGTGGTGGGGAGTGTCTGTGGTCTCAGCTGCTCGGGAGGCTGAGGGAGGAAGATTGCTTGAGCCCAGGAGGTCGGGGCTACATTAAGCCGAGATCACACCTCTGCACTCCAGCCTGGGAGTGGGTCAAAGCCAGACCTCATTTCAAAACAAAACAAAACAAAGTAGTAAATTGCCCACCTTGCTGAGTGACCAAGAAATAAGCCACAATGTCTGCAGGACTTGATTTCAGCATTTTTAGGTGGGGAGGGATTTGGTCTATATTCATTCTTCAGTATAAATTGAGGCCCCTGAAATGGGCAAGATACTGATTTGGTAGGAGTTTACGGGTTAAAATTCCTACAGGATAGGAGAGACTAATAGAAAGATGGTGATTTTCATTTGTTCCTGTTTCAGGAGTGCAGACTTGTGGGTACCCAAGGCTGGTGAAGAGGCCAACCATCAAAACTATGAGAGAGAAGGCAGAAGGCAACAACACTGGTGAATACCTATGACATTTTGTATTATGACACCCATGCCTACTTATTATAACAACCTCGCAAGGTAGATGTGATCAATTCTATTTTATTGTTGATGAACCTGAGACTCAGAGATGTTAAGTGACTGACTCAAAGTCACACAGCTCATAAGCAGTGGAGCCAGGATTCAAACTGGGGTGTTTTTGACTTTAGAGCCAGGACTCCCTCCACCACTTAACAAGGGCTCTCTTAGCCATCTCTCAAATCAGGAATTCGCCCCACTTCCCTCCTCAGATGCTTGTTTCACTGAGGCACACACAGTCTCTCTCCCCATTCCATCCCCACATGCTGAGGGCTGCCTGGGAGAGACTCAGCTCCCCTCCTCTCCACTTTCGAGCTCCGCCCTTCTGCCCAATCTGGGCTTCTCTCCCGCTGTGAAGGACACACACCTGCTGAGTGACACCAATTTGCAGACTTCTCAAGTGTAAATGAGATTTCTAATAGGACTGGCTTCCCACTGGCTTCTGGCAGGGGTAGGGTTAAAGGGAAATGTAAAAGGCTGGAAATGTGGAAGAAGAGAGCCAGTTTGGAGGAGGAGAGGGAGCAACAGAAGTGGAGGCAGCCACTACCTCGGGTAGAAGTGAAGGGCTGACTTGGTTTAGAGAGGTCAAGTGCCTTACCAAAGGTCACACAGCTAGCAACTGGAAGAGGTAGAATGAGCTCAGCTAATGGCTGCATTTTTAGCGTTCTCTAAAGGAGTACAATCCTCAAGAAACTTAAGTTTGTAACGTGCTTTAGTGTCCTCTGCTATATGAATGGAGGAGGGTGGGAATATTCTTAGGAATAGGGAGGGCATTTGGATTTGTTGCTTGACAATTAATCTCCACTGAAACTGTCAACAATGTGACTACATGCTCACCTTAGGACAAGGTACCCACCCCCCCTTGCCCGAGGCAGAGGCATCAAAAAAGGCTGGGAGGCCAGGGGAGGCAGCTGGTGCTTGTAATAATCCTAACACTTCCGGAGGCCGAGGCAAGGCGGGCAGATCACCTGAGGTGGCAAGTTTAAGACAAGCCTGGCCAACATGAGAAAACCCTATCTCTACTAAAAATACAAAAATTAGCCGGGCTGGTGGCGTTCGCGTGTAATCCCAGCTAGTCGGGAGGCTGAGGCACAAGAATCGCTTGAACCCAGGAGGTGGAGGTTGCAGTGAGCCAAGACTGCCCCACTGCACTCAGCCTGGGACAGAGCGAGACTCTGTCTCAAAAAAAGGGGGGGGGGACTGGGAAATGTTTCTTCTGATGACTCTAATTGTATTTCTGCCACAGTGGGGGATGCCCCCAAACACTGAGCTTTTTTTCCCTTGGTGACACCTCTGGATGTAGCAGCACATAGTGAAGAAATTCCATAAATGCAAGTCCACTCCCTCAGCTGTAGGGGCAGGGACCAGACAGGCTCGGAGCTAAGGTGTGTCCTCTGCGGCCAGGTGCACCGAACATCCGGGAACCTCTGTCTTCAGAGCCTCTTGGTGCCCGCTTACACTGTGGCTCTGGGGCCAGAGACGAAGAGGCACTGAGCCCCAAGATGTGAGGTCACTAGGTGTCCCAAACTGGTTGTTGGGAAACTGAGTACTTAAGGTGGATTTTTCTCTCCCTGCCCTTCAGGCAGTGGTGTGGAAGCAGCCCACTGCTCCCTGAAGACAGACCCTACCCCACTTCCCTGCTCACACTGGAGTTTGTCCGTGTCTCTGGAAGAAGCGTGTTCAGGGTTGCTACTTGAGGTGTTTTGTAGGAAACACAAAAGACACACAGAACCACGTGGAAGGAGAACCAGAAAGGGGGGCTCCCCATGTCCCGCTCCCCGATGTGATGGCTGGCACCATTCGGGAGACTAGGATTTGTTGTTGAGCGCAGTAAGACAACAACAAAATCACAAGTCTTCCAGACGGGGCAGCCGGTCCACTCTGTATCCAGGCCAGTTCCCCTCCCCTCGACACCCTGTCTGTGGTCTGGATGCCGCTGATGGCCAGCGTTTGTCTCTGCTCCCCTTACCAAGTTCATCTCCTCTCAGCACCCCTCCCCACCTCAGAATTCCCCGGAGAATTTTTTCTTTTCCTTTTCTTCTGGAGTGTTCTACTTTCTGTAATAAACATGGTTGTTTTGTTTGGCGAGACAGGGGCTTGCTCTGTCACCCAGGCTGTAGTGCAGTGGTGCAGTCACGGCTGGCTGCAGCTTTGACCTTCCAGATTCAGGTGATTCTTCTGCTTCAGCCTCCCTGGTAGCTGGGACTACAGTTGATTTGTTTTGTTTTGTTTTGTTTCAGTAGAGACGAGGTCTCGCTATATTGTCCGGGCTGATCTCCAACTCCTGGGCTCAAATGATCCTCCTGCCTCAGCCTCTCAAAGTGCTGGGATGATAGGCACCCAATTTGAACATACTTTCTTTACAAATAGGGAAATTTTATTTTTAAAGGGAAGCAGGCAGGTAGCTCATTTCTCTCTTTTCTTTGCTAATCATAAAGCATGGAATTGCCTCGGAGAAGGGAGAGAAGAGCTCAGAAATGGTGATCCCTCTACCTGTGCCTCCGCTTTCTGGAAGTCTGTGGGCATGGCCCATGGTGAAAATTCTTCCAGTGTTTACTGAGAGCTGGGAGCACTGGAAGCACAGCTCAGAATGAAGTCAGAGTGGTGGTGCTGGGGTAAGCAGAGCAGAAAGAAAGGAAAAGGGGAAATGGTTGTGGACAGGAGGCTGGTGGAATCCTGGCCCAGTCATCCCCTCCCCACAGGCACAACGATAGGCTCCCTGGTTCGTTTCCCTTGCAGTGTGGCACTGGTGGAGGAGAGGCAAGCCCGTGCTGCCTGGACCAGCCTCTAATTGTGCTGGCAGGGCACATCCGCTTCTTAATTAGCAAAAGCCACAATATCCTGGTGGCTCAGAGAGCACGGCCCTAATTGTATTTCTGCAGCAACTGAAGGATAATTACCTTTCCCTATTGGTGCTACTTTTAATTCTCTCTCTTTTTAATTGTGACTGCTTCTTCTTTAGCCCACCCTTCCATCCTTGGATTTATTCTCTCTATCCAGAATAGGAAAGGGCTTGCCTGGTGATGGAGATGCTCAGAGCAGTGCGGGGGGCATGGAGAAGACGGGCAGTGCCCAGCTCTGAGTCCCAGCCCTTTCAATTGTCAGCCTGAGACAGGGCACAGTTCTGCAATGGCCCTGAGGAAACCCAAGATGTTCTTTTGTGGAAGATGTAAGGGAGAGGTGTCCCTTCCCCAGAAGCTGTTAAGACCCTCTTCGTCCACTCCCCAGTCAGGTGATGGCTCTGCAATTCCCAGCTGCAGAAAACTGAGACCTCCCTTCCCCATCCTTTAATCTCTCAAGAAACAGATGGGTTTATGGTCTTTAATTTCTTTTAAAATAATAATTTAAAAAGTAGCCCCGTGTCTCTTTGCCACTGTTGAGAGAGAGTTAGTCCTTCATCCTTGTATTGTTTCAGAGGCAAGGACCTGAGTGTACCTTTAGAGAACAATGCTAACTAAGGTAACCCCTTGGTTAACGGGAGAGCTTAACACCCTAGGTGCTTCTAGGAAAACAGGCCTTTTTAGGGAGCTGTCAAATAAGCTTCAATAGTAATAGACAAGCTAAAATGCATCACAAAGAGTTTGGAGAGAACCACAGCATCTCTCTGAATGTCGCCATGCAGGACTGATGGATGTAGCCTACATGAGCAGCCTGGCTCTAAAAAGCTACCACCCAGCCACTGCCCTACTAGAAGCTCACTATGAGAGCAGGGACTCCCGCTCATTATTCTTCCCAGTGCCTTGCATGCAGCCTGGCTCATGACAGATGAAACTGGTTGGCAAACAAGCAAAGTTCAGGGACAGAGTAGGACTGTGAAGTGTGAACAGGGTCAGTCCATTTTCATTGGCTTTTTCCTTTCAGAGCCAGTGAAGATGGACTTGAGCTGACTGTGGCCCTAGTTTTCAAAATTCTTTAATTCTGAGCTCTATCTGAATTGGGAGAAGAGGCAAGCAACAAAAGAGGCTGCTATAGTCTCAAAGAAATAGATCTTGAAAAAATGACCTGCCCTTGAGCCCACCAACTTCCACTCCCCACTTCTAATTTCTCCTCTGAATTTAGAGCTGTTCCCTTAGCAACGCTTGTTTCCATGGTTTCTTCCATGACAATGATCCCCAAACCCCTCCTCTCTTTTACCTCATGACAGTAATGGGTGATGGGGATCCTCAGTGTGGCCACTCCATGTTACCATGGTAACAATTAACTGAGTCTTAATTTATCTTTTGTGAAGAGGGCTAGGGAATATGAAGCTTTTGATTTGGAGGGGGAGGGTCCAGGTCTAGAGCTACCGTTCTCATAAAGAAGAAGTTAAGGGATTTGTCCTAATACTAGCCAGTAGGATTTAGTTCAAACATTTGTTCAGCCCTACTTTAAGCACAACTGAATTTGAGGGAATTAAAGGGGTACAAGACATAGCTCCTAATATTGAAGGGCTTATAGTCTAGCCCTAGGGCTCATGGTACCTCTGAACTCTGGCACAGATGGGGCCAATAAAGTATATGGCTCTTGATAGCACCGTCATGGTCAGGCATCTATCTATCCACTCCCAGTATCCCCTCCAGCCAAAAGCCAAAAAAAGACTGACCGAAGCAGTCTGTACTCACAGTAAGGCTTCTTCCAGGCTGCTGTCAGAGAGTTTCCATCCTGAAAGGGAAAGAACTTTGACTCCCCCTCTTTTTAGGAAAGTGGGGACCAATGCCAGCATCTCTGAGTGGGATTATTTGATGCAGGGATAAAAAGAAAAAAAACCAGACCTGCGCAACGCCAATGCTATGGACTGGGGCGATCTCCAGTTCCAGGATCCCCATCACCTACCTGCAGCAAGTCTTCCTGGGAAGCGATGAATCAGCTCTTACACTGAATTAGAGAGTCATTGTCTCCATCCATTCAGCTTTTCTGTTTGTCACTGAAAATTCAGGCAAAAGGCGCAGCTCTGAAGAATGAAAGTAGAAAAGCAAACAAATAAAACATCAAAGTGGAGAAGAGGGCACCAAATACCAAAGCTGAAAGCTGAGCAGAGTGAATCCAAAAGCTGACTATCCATTCTGCGTCACAAGCAATGCAGCTCTTCTAAATTCTAGCTTTCCATCTTCATCCCCAAAAGTTTTCACCACATCTCTAATAATGAGGACCAATTCTCTACTTTTAGGGGAAATCACAAAATTTTCTGGACCCTGGTAACAATAACCTGCACTGACTTTGAAAGATAATCACAGTATCTCCCAAAATGAAGGGGAAAAAAGCTATAGGACAATGTATAAGGCAGGTATGTTGAAGTAAGCTATGAACAGATAGGAAGAAAAGTCAATGCAATCTGGGTTAGCCAAAGTCAATTCCAGATCCTGAGTCCAGGACTCTGTGTTCTGTCCTTTGCTACTGGATGGAACTAAGGCAGATCCAATCCTTCTGGGTACCCTGCTCACTCAGCTAGTCAGAAAAGGATAAATGGCATCCTCTTATTGGTTGACAAGGCAATGCACACCAACCAATGAAAGGATGCTTCTTCCTTTCCAGCCAATAAGAGCTCACTTATCTTCTTGAAAGGAAAGTAGGCCCTTTGTTCATAAAGAAAATAAGCAGAAAGTGAATACATCTTTTTAAAAAAAAACAACTGTTGCTATGGGACATTATTGATGTGATAAATGATAGCTGCCCCAGAGAATTCATAAAGAAAAGCACTGCTTTGGAAAGAAAAGTACAAAAAGCAGACCAGCTGTCTGGCCTGGTCTGAAGGGAAGTTTCTATAGTAACATGTGAGAGAAAAGCATTTTAATATAAATACCCCCAAAACTATCAAATCCGTTCATTGAGGGAATTTTTGACCTTTTCAACTTATGCTGAAATTATAATGATTAAACATTTTTATATTAATAATAGATGAAGGAAACGAGGAGAAAAGAAGAGAATAAGAGGAAAAGAGACGTGTGTTTACTGGTGCAGGAATCACAGATAAAGATATGACAGTTACTGCCTGAATCATTGAGATTTTCTCCATCCCTATGTTGTCAACTAATATCTCAGTTTAAAACAGAGTTCTTTCCGTTGGTGGTGTATTTTGTTTGTTTTGTTTTGTTTTGGAAAGAGAAAATTAATGGCTCCTAAACAGACATATTTGAGATGAAATAGTGGACAGAGCACAGACTGTTCTGGTAACTTGCTAGCAATTTCCTCCCGAATCATTCTGAGAATGTTATAGCTTCCTCTGGAAAATTATAAGTAAAATAATTTCCTACCCAGATGTTTCAGGGTAAGAAAAGATAGGCAAGGTTGATAGGTGAAAGTGGAGTCATGTTTCTCAATCAAGGGAAACAGAAAAAAATCAGAAGATTACAAGCTTTAGGTGCTGTATTTGCTAATTACTAAGGCAATGCTGGGGAGGAATAAAAGAGAAGAGAATCTTGAGAAATCGAATTCGAGTGATGCTAGTGTCCATTTACTAAGGGAGACACGTTTTCCTCTATCTGTGCTTTCTGCGTGGTCTATGGGGCAAGGTGAGAAGTGGAGGTAATCCAAAATTCATCTGCCTCTCCCACGAAGGGAGTGGTTTAGTTAGTGGGGGGAGGGATGACTATCAAACCAGGAAGAAAGCTTCTCTCTACAGTAGACACCCTTGGACAATTTCCTTGTCTCCCTCCCGTTCATGCATGAAGAGCAAATGTGTTTTTCTCATTTTAAGGGGGAAAAAGAGGAGGTGGGGGATAAGAAATCAGCTCCTCCAGTATAAAGGACTAAATGAAAAAATATAAAAGCCAAAATTGTAAATCCTGGAGAAATGAAGCCAGTGGGTGGAGTGGGGGAGGGGAGGACTGTAGTGGTGGAAAGGTAAGTTGCTTTGCTATGCGCCTCGACTTAAAAAAAAAAATCGCTTCCAGTATTTCCCTGGACCCGGCCTTATGCAGGATCGGTGTGACGCTCCCCTAGCCCGGAAAAGGCAGGGGCTCCCCAGGAGATATTTTAAATAATCAAGGTGCTCACGGATAATCAGCGGCCAAAGCCTCTCCACCCACTGTAACCAAGGCAACAGGAGGCTGGGGCTGCGACTGGTTGCCTGGTAACCATGCTACTGCCCAAGTCCTGTCGGCTCCCTTCCTCCTCCACCTCCGTTAGCCCTTTTGTGATAGGGTCTCTCCCTCCGCGGTCTTTCCCCTTCCTGGCCAAACAATCATCTTTACTCCTCACACAAAGGCTACTTTGGGCTCCTTTGGGTAAAAAACGCTTACCTTGATGTTCTTTTTGGACAAATTTCATCCACGCTCGAGTGTTGAGACCCAGATAAAATCTTACCTCGGCTTCAATATCTCCCCCCTCCTCCCCACGCCTTCCCTTTCACTCACTCCTATTTAGGCGTACCCTACCGAGAGTGTGGGAAGGAAGGGAAGAAGGAAGCGGGAGAGAGCTAGAGGGAGCGCTGGATTTAGATGCGGCGATTTTTCACGGAACACCGGAGCCTGGGCTCGGGGTAGATCCTCCGTCCCGCACACCCCTTTGCTCATCGCCTGCAAGCGTGCCTCTGCTCCCCGCACCACCGCCCTCATTTGGCGCCAAGTTTTTCCACTGGTCGTGGCCAGGGCAAGATAGAATGCTCTCCCAGAATCCCACACCTAAATCCCTGGAGAAATGAGGAAGATGAGTCCCACCTTCTTCCGCGAACCTGTGTCACCTCCTGACCTCCTCCGCGTGGGGTCTGAGGGGCCGTGAGCGCAAGTGGCCTGAGGCTGGGAAGCCGAGCCGCGCGCTGGCACCGACCATTGACACCCTAGGGTCGGGGCGCTGTCCAGCCTCTGGTGCTGAAGCTGGAGGCTCGGATTCGCTGGGGTGGGGCTCCAGGGACCTTCAGCAGACTGATTCTGAGCCCATTCCAATGGGGTAGCGACTCGAAGTGTAGGCGTTGGGTCCGCGGAGTCGAAAGGCTACACTGGGAAGTAACCGCATTAGACTCACTTTTTCAGCAGATAGGGCTCCCCCGGGACGCAATCCCCTGCTCCTCTCATTCCCCTCCCTGGAATTATTTGCGGCAATTGCAGTGGGTAGGGAGAAAGGCCCTTTGCACTGGGGCGATTACCCAGTTGTCTCCTGGTACTTTTCACATTTTTTCCTGCGGCTCTGGGCTCTCTGGGTGCTTGCAGGCAGTCTCCGGACTCCTGGCGCTCAGATCTGGTGGCAGGTAAAGCAGCGAGGAGAGGCTTGGAACGCGGAACGCGGCTTCTCTTCTGCATGCAACAGGTCAGCTGCATCTAGAATCAGGGGCGAGAAGTGCGGGGGGAACGGCGGCGGCGGGCTTGGGGCTGCTGGGTTGTGAGAAGCGGCTCCGGCGAGGCTGTGGGGCAGTCTTTCTTCTTCGGGGCGCAAAACCCAGCGAAACAAACAGCAAGCTGGGTTTCCGTGTCGCCCCGGGCAGGTACTGGAACCAGACGCCCCCACACCTCTAGCTTGCCCAGCACCTCGTAGGAGCGCTCACCTGCTGGGCTCCGGAGTCGCCTTCCCTCCTCTTAACTGCACCTTTGGCGGGTGCCAAGCCTGGCTGCCCGGTTCCCTGGCCCTCCAGAGCAGCCTCAGGCTCAGCTTCCCGAATATCAGCTCCAGTCGGCTGCTCCTCCAGGCAGAGCCTTGGACCTGGAGGAGGGAACTGGACGGGGAACCTTGGCTGAGATTTACCTGGCATGGGTCGCCACGGCTGGGAGGAAGACCACTTGCTCTCCGCTTCTTTCTGGAAGAAAGCCCCTCACCACCCAGCTGCCTGCGCTTTGCGTCCCCCCAGAGCCGCAGTGCAAGCTGCTGCGCAGTGGGGCGGGGAGGGTTGGGGTTTGAGGAAGCTGTTTGTAAAGTGCCCCTGGAATACTCACCTCTCTGGGGCGGTCAGTCCTGTCCTGGTCTGTAGTCCTGGCATGGCCCTCCGGGTGCAAACAGTCGCTGCGGCTGCTGGGCCGGGGAAGAACAGCTGCTTTAAAGCCGAGACCAACCCACGGGTGGCCTGTCAGGGCCACAGATGTTCATGACGTCATCCTGAAAGCGAGCGGAGAAAGCGAGCGAAGAGGGGGCCGCTGCGCTTCACATCAAATGTCCCCTGTGGCCATGGCAACGGCTTGTGGGGAGGGGGTGCCGGTCCGCGGGCCAGCAGCGGGCAGCCTGATACTCCTGCCGGGTCCGGCGCTGCGCTGGGGTCGGGCACTAGTGCAGAATCCAGTCGTGCCCGACCAGACGAGGCACCAGAGCTAGTCCCGTCCCCTGCCGGGGCTGGTCACAGCGGGTGGGCGTCTGCCTGGTCCCAGGGAAGAGACAGGGGGAGACTACAGGCTTCCTGAGGTCAATTAGCAGAAACCTTCATTTTCACATGGCCGCTTCCTATTCTTCCCCCACCCCACCTGGGCTGGTCAGACCTGGTTAACCTGGCCGCTCTTAGACGTGTTCTTACCCACTCTGGACCCACGTGTGCTGGAGCAGAGCACACCCAGGCAGCGCCCGCACAGGACCTACCTACCTGCCCTGGTCCTCGCCTGCATACACGACAAACCGAGACTTCGAAGCTGCCGTTAGAGCTTCAGAAAATGACAAACCCACCACGGATCCAGCGCGCATCTAGGGGGTGCAAACTGGTGACCAGCGAACCAGGCAGAACACAAAAATGTCTGTGAGGCTCCCACACACAGTGTTTTAAAATGTTGAAGTATTGGTCAAAAAGGTTGGAGGAGTTCACACAGGACTCTGGGCTTTCCATCTCTCCTCTCCTCTCTCTAAAGCAATATCCCTGTCATGGCATTACCATGTTTCTTGATTAGGTGCTTGCTGGCATTCTGCATGTAGGCAGAAGCTCTGACTAGTGTACATGTGGCTGGAGTCCAGGCAAAAGTAGGCCCTCTTCTCCTTTTCGTCAATATTCACCAAGCCTATTTGTCATCAGTCTTATCGTTTTACTTCTTTTTTTCCCTACAGTATAAAGTGTGGCCAGGAGCAGTGGTTCACACCTGTAATCCCAGCACTTTGGAAGGTCGAGGTGGGAAGATCACTTGAGCCCAAGAATTTGACACTAGCCTAGGCAACACAGTAAAACCCCCTCTCAAAAAAAAAAAAAAAAAGAAAAGAAAAGAGGAAAGCAAAATTGTTTTTTGTCACCACCTTACCTGCTCACTTCATCAATGTTACCTGTGAGGTCCTGTAAGCATGTGAGTTTGCTACCCCTTGTTCCTTTGCTCTGTTGAGTGGAAGTTGGCAATGGCTTCACTCAGCCTGTAATGCTTGCTTCTTTTCCGGCTGGTGCCCTGCAGGACCAACCCTGGAGACTCACAAATATCTGTGCTGCTCACATCCAGCCAACACAGGCAGCATCACATTTCCTCCCAGTCAGGCTGGAGGATTGTTGTTTTTGTTTTGTTTTTTTTTTTTGAGACGGAGTTTCGCTCTTGTTACTCAGGCTGGAGTGCAATGGCACGATCTCGGCTGACCACAACCTCTGCCTCCTGGGTTCAAGCAATTCTCCTGCCTCAACCTCCCGAGTAGCTGGGACTACAGGCACGCACCACCATGCCCAGCTAATTTTTTGTATTTTTAGTAGAGAGGGGTTTCACCTTGTTGACCAGGATGGTCTCGATCTCTTGACCTCGTGATCCACCTGCCTTGGCCTCCCAAAGTGCTGGGATTACAGGCGTGAGCCACCGTGCCCAGCCTGCTTGTTTGTTTTTTTTCATTTTCATATTTCAAAGTATGCGGGTATTTGGGAAATATTTTTAAAAATCATATATTTCTTTTTCTTTCTTTCTTTCTTTCTTTCTTTCTTTCTTTCTCTCTCTCTCTCTCTCTCTCTCTCTCTCTCTCTCTCTCCTTCCTTCCTTCCTTCCTTCCTTCCTTCCTTCCTTCCTTCCTTCCTTCCTTCCTTCCTTCTTTCTTTCTTTCTTTCTTTCTTTCTTTCTTTCTTTCTTTCTTTCTTTCCTTTTTTGAGACAGAATTTCACTGTTGTTACCCAGACTGGAGTGCAATGGCATGATCTCAGCTCACCGCAACCTCCACCTTCTGGGTTCAAGCAATTCTCCTGCCTCAGCCTCCCGATTAGCTGGAACTACAGGTCCATGCAACCATGCCCAGCTAATTTTTGTATTTTTAGTAGAGACGGGGTTTCACCTTGTTGACCAGGATGGTCTCGATCTCTTGACCTCGTGATCCACCCGCCTCGGCCTCCCAAAGTGCTGGGATTATAGGCGTGAGCCACCACGCCCAGCCTAAAAATCATATATTTTATTTATCACTCAGATATTTGATCACATGAAACATTCTTTACATTTTTAATGTAAGGAATAATATCTTAATCATAAATACGTGGAAAAATAGAAGAAAACATTTTAATTAGTCTCAGACCCACCCATTGTTATGTAAACTAACGCTGTTTTACATTTCCTGATTGGCAATCTGAAAACAGCTGTAAATACACTCTGTGAACACCAGGAGCCAATCAACATACAAGTAAAAAGCACCACCAACAGGATCTAGTTGTATCTTATGCACACCCTCTCACACAGTCACACTTACCAGGACAGTCATTAAACGTGCACTTTGAATATCATACATGCAACAATATGGAAGGGGGCTTATCTTCTTTCTCCATTACCAGCAGACGTCGCTCTAAGGAAAAACAGGCTCCTATTCATATACACTCGCTCTCTTAACCAAGTGTCTGAAAAATTTTTGTTGAAAGCAAAGGTAACTTTGTACTAGATCAACCCCAAATCTTGGCCAACATGGATTGTTTTTAGCCTATTGAGAAAAATTAGTGCAGAGAAAAGATTCTGCATTTATCTCTTGGTGAAAAAGCTGTTTGGTCTTTGGCCTGACTGGCCCCTTAACACAGGACATTTTTCTTGCAACCATTTCATTTGTGAGTCTTACTAGGCTGTAGAGGCAGTGTAAGTAATACTGTTAATGCTCCATTCATTATCTTTTTAAAGCACTTTTAATTTTTCACTGAATATTTTACATGACCTATCTTGCTTGATTCTAGAAGCTGCCCATTTTATAGACAAAGAAGCAGAGCTCAGACTGTTTAATTCACCTTAAGTTCTCAGTGCTCCTTCTGCTAGAAAGACCCACTGCCTCCCTTATATGAGTCATCAAAATTATGTGTTAAATGGTTAAGAGAGCTAGTTGGGTGTGGTGGTACGCACCTGTAGTCTCAGCTACTCAGGAGGTTGAGGTGCGAGGATCACTTGGGCCCAGAAGTTCAAGGCTGTAGTGAGCTATGATTGCCCCACTGCACTCCAGCTTGGGCAACGAAGAACTTCTTTCAAAAAGAAAAAAATTCCAAAACAACAAATAAAGAGTTAAACAGAAATTTATAAAAGTGAAAAAGCAACATTCAGACATTTAGAATTTTTCTGCTTTATTTAAAATAGAAATGTAAATTACTGAATTCACAAAAAATTTGAAAACCTACTTCCTGGCCAGGTGCGGTAGCTCACGCCTGTAATCCCAGCATTTTGGGAGGCCGAGGCAGGCAGATCATGAGGTCAGGAGTTGGAAACCAGCCTGACCAACATGGTAAAACCCTGCCTCTACTAAACATATAAAATTAGCTGGGCATGGTGGCACATGCCTGTAATCCCAGCTACTCAAGAAGCTGAGGCAGAAGAATTGCTTGAACCTGGAAGACGGAGGTAGCAGTGAGCCGAGATTTTGCCATTGCACTCCAGCCTGGGCAACAAGAGCAAAACTCCATCTCAAAAAAAAAGACCTACTTCCCAATGCTGGAGAAGGTACGGTGAAATAAGTGCTCATACCTGTGGAGATTGCAAGTTGGTTAAATTCATTGGAAAGCAATTTTGCAAGGTATATCAAGGGTCATAGTGAGCAGTCTAGGCAATATAGCAAGACCCTGTCTCTACAAAAAAAAAAAAAAAAGTCATAGACACAAACATGTTCACACCCTTTGGACCAGTTCTTCTTTAGGGTATTTTTTTTTTTTTTTTTTGAGATGGAGTTTCGCTCTTGTTACCCAGGCTGGAGTGCAAAGGCATAATCTCGGCTCACCACAACCTCCACCTCCTGGGTTCAAGCAATTCTTCTGCCTCAGCCTCCTGAGTAGCTGGGACTACAGGCGCATGCCACCATGCCCAGCTAATTTTTTGTATTTTTGGTAGAGACAGGGTTTCACCATGTTGACCAGGATGGTCTCGATCTCTTGACCTCGTGATCCACCCGCCTCGGACTCCCAAAGTGCTGGGATTATAGGCGTGAGCCAGCATGCCCGGCCCTTTAGGGTATCTTAATAAAATAATCTTAAATACAGAAAATGCTAGATGCATTAAGGTGTCTGTTGTCACATTGCTTAATATTTTAAAAAATGGAAGTATACTCTGGTTTCTCTTCAGATTGCATAAATCTTTCATCTTTTACTAAAAAATGGAAGCAACATAATATCCAACAATAGAAGACTGGCACATCATCTATTGAATGGATAGAATATTCTACCAACTCTAAAATTAATGTTTATGCTGAAACATGTGCCAAGAGAATACTCATTATATATTAAGAAAGGAAATTAGCAGACATTAGCAGAACATAGAACTGCCTTTGCAGATACCATTAAAGTAAGGGCTTTAGAAAGCATACATATTTAAAAAAAAAAAAAAAAAAAAGAACAAGCTGGGCGCGGTGGCTCATGCCTGTAATCCCAGCACTTTGGGAGGCCGAGGCGGGTGGATCACGAGGTCAAGAGATCGAGACCATCCTGGTCAACATGGTGAAACCCCGTCTCCACTAAAAATACAAAAAATTAGCTGGGCACGGTGGCGCGTGCCTGTAATCCCAGCTACTCAGGAGGCTGAGGCAGGAGAATTGCCTGAACCCAGTAGGCGGAGGTTGCGGTGAGCCAAGATCGCCCCGTTGCACTCCAGACTGGGTAACAAGAGGGAAACTCCGTCTCAAAAACAAAAAAAGTAAGGGCTTTAGAAAGCATACATATTAAAAAAAAAAAAAAAAAAACAGAGGTACATCAAATTACGATAAGGTTTCTG